CCTTCGATCCAGGTCTCTTGCTGGTGTGGCACTGTCTGCTCCAGACACTCTCGCCCTGAGGCTCAGCTCCCAGGCATGTCAGGTGGAAGGCTGTCTGGAGAGCTCTCTGGCTACCCTTCTGCGACATTTTTTGTCCTCATGTGTTCTTAACTTTCTGACGCCCCCCAGCGTGATAAGGCCGGGGTTTACCTCTGGCCTGCGGGCCCAGCCCTGAGCCTTTGCCAAGGTACCTGGCCTGGTGTACGGACTTCCTGCGGGTGGCCGCAGGGCCCACAGCCCCGTCCATGCCCTCCAGGAAGAACCCTGCGGGGACAGCAAGGCAGTGTCAGAAGTAACGCGCCTGCCCTGGGCAGTGATCCCGTACTCCCGGCTCCACGGAACTGCGAGGCTGTGGGCAACTGCTGCCCACGCCTCACCACGGAGATCTGAGCAGCCCACACCGCGGGACCCAGAGGCCCGGCCACCGCCCCCACCCACGTCACCAGCACGCCCTGCAGACAACGGCTCCAAAGACTTGTGAGGGGGACCCAGTCCTCCATGGACCCCGAAAGGCACCGAAGTCCCGGCTCAGCCCCAAGCTGTGTTCTGCAGGTATCAAAAGACTGATCATCTTCGGAACTGACCTGGCCAACGCTCACCCCCAGGAGATCTGGAAACAAGAGTAGACTCGAGCGGAGGTCAAGAACTTCTTCCCAGAAGATCACGTTCCCAGACTCGGGGTAAACTCAAGACGCAGAGTCACAGTGTGGTGGAGAGAGACGGCCTCTCGTGGGCTCTGGCCTGGGCTGGCATGTCCCATGGGAGAGACGGCCTCTCGGGGGCTCTGGCCTGGGCTGGCACCAGGCCACAGTCTAACAGTGTCACAGCCAGTCAGGTCTGGGACCAGAGGGCCGAGTTAGCTTGCTCCCTGCACCGCTGCCGCCCCTCAGCCCTGGCCCTGCGAGGCCATCAGGGCCCTGAGAGTCATCAGTCCCGCCCTGGAAACTCCCAGTCACCCAGGGACATCCCGGGCAAGGCTGGCTATCTTCTTGGGTACAATCTGAAGGGACGTGAAATGGTGTGATGTTTACATTTCCTTCAGAATGATCCCGCGTGTGGGGTGGCGTGGGCTGTGGTAAGAAGCTTGTGCAGATGAGCTGACGCTGGCCCTGATCACGCGTGTTAATCACGGCCGACCTGGTGATAGCGTGTGTGGTGACACGTACGCCACCCTGCTTCCTGTGCGTGTTTGGAATTTTCCACACCCCAGAGTCCCTGTCATCCCTGTCATCAATGGTGTGGCAGCCAGGAGGGTCCCCTTGCATCCTGGTTCAGTCCCTCCAGCGGTCCACATCGCCCTTCC